CTCTTTCCCCTTAAATCCAGAACACAGTTTTGTTTGTAGCTACAGGCAGTGCAGCCTTTCCTATATATCTTGACAATTGACCAGAGAGCTTTACATGATTGAAAAGGACAGTTACTGAGACTGAATTGGCAGAGACAGCTCCGGCAAGCCTCCGTGGAGGGACCAGACCGCATACCTTGACAGGCTTCCACCAGCAGGTGCAATGAGCAGCCTGAGATTCTCTTGGGTCTAGCAAGAGTGAGAGATGCTCCTATCCAGAGCAAAGGCAGCAGTGGAGTCCCAGGAGGGGACCACTCAGCATCTGAACCTCCTTCTCTCCTCGACTTCACCTCCTCTGGGGGAGGAGGGACTGGTGGGAAATACAAGGAATTTTTTTTTTCCTATTCAGAGGATGAGAAGGGAGGAGAAACAAGTGGAATAATGCTAAAACAAAAGCTGAGGAATGGGGGAAGTGTGGCAGTTGATAGCAGGGTGAACAAAAGTAACCACTGACCTATCTTCTCAGCAGTTTTGTTCCCCAAATCATCAGTACAGCCAATTCTGTGTGTAGTAAGCCTAGTGCTTTAATTGGGTTTGACATGAAAACAAATTACAGATTTTTTTGTAAGTGATGTTTTTTCTAATGTTTATAAATAAATCTGATATTTTGTAATTCATTCAGTCATTACTTTTACTTGCATCTGCAATTACATTCTCTACATTACTCTAAGTCTCAGCCTTATAGTGACATATCCAAACAGGTGGGATATCCATCTTCTCACATCCTTCCTTACTCCTGCTGGGGATACTTTCGACTCCTTTGGGCCAGCAGTAAGGCTTAACCCTGGCAATGCTGGTATTTAATGGAAGAGCCTTTCACTGTTAGCTAAGCAGTATAATTTTTTTTATTTGTTAGAGCTGGTAAGAAAAGTGATCTTCCCTTCCATCTAATCCAGGCACTAGAGGGCATCCCTCCCTAACAGGTTACACAAAACTGTCCCATGCTGCTGTGGATCGTTCTGCAACGCTGATTTCATTCTCCTAGTCTGTGTTTCCACCCATTGCATTGATTTATGTGGATGACAATGCAAAGAACGGGACTGATCTGTGAAAACAATTCCTATTCTGAGTCCCAGAAGTCCTCACCAAAGACACTAAGGATACGATCTGATCAAAATGAGAATACCACTAACCAGCCAGCAGCCAAAAAGAAGCGAGTTTGCAGAAAATAAAGGCCACAGAATAATTTTCACAAAGTCCAGATCTTCATGTGACCACCACAGCCCAGAAATTCATGACAGTCCCTCTTTTGAACTTAGCAGTACTCCCAAAAGCTCAGTGGATTAGGTCAATTTAGAGGGAGAAAAGTCTTAATCTTGCCAGTGACTTTCAAGATATCTTTAGTCGAGATACCTAATCATCAAGCAACTAGTTTTTGCCTTTTCTTGCCTCAAAGAGATATTCAATAGGTCAAGCACATTCTTACCTCACAAAGATATTGAAGATATCAATACATTGAAGACTGTGAGAACCTCTTTAGATTCCATAATAAGAAACTGAAAACTATCTAAGAAAATGAAGAGTGACACAATCCCACGTTATTACGAGAAGTCCACACAGTTACCTGAGGTATTCAGATTTAATAAGCCTAATAAAATATTATGTCAGCTTGTGTATTGGCATTACATAGGAAAAGCCTATGCTGTTTTTTTCATGTCCTCTAAAACCTGGGGTAATCATGTATCTTTCTGCTTCTGCCTCCTCCAGCAGCAGGAGCCACTGATGGACAGTTTCTTTTGAAGGATCCATTTGACAAAATAGGTACTGCTTGGGTGTGTTATGGCATTAATATTTGCATGTACAAAGGGAGGACCGTTTATACACTCACAGAGTTCAATGAAAATTGCCAAGTCTGGCCAAGGACTGTTCATGTAGACCGAAAACATGCCTTATCTTGATTTCTGTATGAACTTTAGCACACATGGTGACCCCTTTCCCAAAAATTCCAGCATACGTGACTCATGCTTAACATGTCTAAGTAAGCAGATCTGTGTCAAAGTGAACTCAATCTCCTTAGCATATGTCATTAGGAGGCATCGTGCTCTTGAGTGTGTCACAGTAACACAGCCAAAGAACAAAAGCAATGTCACAGGCTAGGAAATAGGTTTACTTTTGCCTCTGAGCAAAAGGCAGGGAGACAGATAGCTCCACCTCTGGAAAAAAGGGAATCTATTTCTTATTTACAGTAAAAGTAAATTTCAGGCCATCCATCTCAGGCCAGCAATTGAAGGAGGGCTTCCTTCCTCTCCATATTTCCTAGTCAAAGAGTATATGTTCATATAGCTGTTTATTCTTCTGTGCTAAGACCCAAGACCCACGAGGGACTATAAGGAGAAGAACATCCTTTACTCCCCTTTTCTAAGATTGTAGCTGCATTAGGGCTTTCTCTTTATTACAGCCAGGTGTGATTCGGATACATACGTATTTCAGAGCAGTCCCAGTGTAGTTCTGTGTGCTCAGTGGCCCCTGATGACCTGCGTTTCTCCTCTTAGATGCTGAACAATCTCCATTATTGTGGATTCAGCTCTATTCCTGCCTTGTAGAATCTCCCTCCTTGGAGATGTTCAAAACTCAACTGAACAAGATCCTGAGCAACCTATTCTAGCTAACCCTGCTTTGAGCATAGAGGTCTTATTAAAGGATCGCCAGAGGTATCTTCTAGCACTAATCAGTTTGCAGTTTTCTGATTCTGCAGTAATATATGCTGAGACCTCAGCCTACTTGCCTAGATGTGTACGGACCTTTCAAGTTATGATCCTGGATGTTGTTGACCTTTACGATGGACTGAGTGCTGTCAGCATCAAGAAGGAGGGATTTGAAACTCCCGAGGCTGTTACTTACAGCCCCCCAAAAAAACAAACCAAACCAAACCAAAAAAAAAAAAAAACACAAAAAACCCACACAAACAAACAAAAACACATTTTCCCTTGTTCACCTATTGTGAAGAAGGAACGAAACAAAAAAAAAATGAAGAAATGGGAAAATGACTGGTTTTGGCATCGAGAGCATCACTAGGTTAAACAGCTCAGTTGCTGCTCCCCGCTCAGCTGCGCAGTGTGTTGTCTCGCCATCCTCGGAGCCGAAGGCTGAGTAGGAAATTTGCCTTCCGAGAGACAGAAACATCCTAACTCACTGCTCCGTTTCCCATCTGCACAGCCTAACAAACGTCCTCTTTGCCCTGGCACTTGGCAAGATCCTGGCAGTATTTCGTGATATTTAAACAATAAATAAAGGCCATGAAAGTATCTCTTTGGTCTGCCTAGAGTTTATCTGAAAATAGATTTCATTCATTTGTGTGTGGGGGGAAGAGTTGTCTAAATAATACGCCTTCTGATGGGAGAAAAGTATCACTCTCTTCGATCAGCTCTGGGAAATTCACCAGATGGGGGGGAAAAAAAGATAAACAATCCTACTTGTCAAATTGGTATAAGACGTTCATCTCTCTCACAAGAATACTTGGATCATTGGTTAGTAAGTCAGATCCCAGCACAAAAAGCACAAATTAGTGCTGAGGAAACTGCATGACCAAACCACTTGCTGGGAGCCAAGACACCTCAGAGTGAACTTCCATTTTGTCAGTGGTTCTGTCTGTGGCTTTAGGCAAGACAATTCACCTCTTTACAGAAAATACAGGTTATGATATTTAACAATGTAACTGAGAAATGCCGTATACAGGGAAATAATTGCATTATGTTTATATTATACTGCAATATTATACACCCTACCTTCTACCAAAGAGGTCAGGAGTGTGACATTTGCTGCTTTTCGTCTTCCTGCAGGCAAATTCAGTCCCAGTCTGTCTAATTTTTCTCGCAAGCAGCGTCCTCCATTCTTGGATTTTGCCCTGTCAGGAGAGATTAGGAAAGGGAAATTCATTTTTATTCTGCTTTTTTTTCCTCCCATTAATATCACACTAGAAATCATATACACCTTATTGGTAAATGTATGGGATAATGTCTGCTTTGATGATATCAATGGAAAGTCTTTTGGAGACAGATTCTTAACTCCCTACTCTATATACCTACATGCTCGTCCCTGCAAAGTAGAATGGTGGCATCCAAACCGCTGATTGGAATAGCTGGCTGGATAGGTTTGTGCTGATTCCTGATCTACTTTCAGGAATGATTTAGGAGGGTGATATTTGGCCTGGGTCAAAAACATATGGGGATCCACTGTCACAATTTAAAGTAGAGCCAACTGAGTCCCAGTGTTCAGGCTCGTGGCCTTACATTCTTAGTACTTTGCCCTGGTACTGATGAGGTCTTTGGTATGACCATTTAAAGTGAATATTATGTGACTACTAGCTGAACATATCTCCAGGGTGAAGCAGCAGCAGAGAGAAATTTTTGAGGATGTATATTTTGGATTTTGATGCCCATATAGGCAGTTAAATGGGACTTACGGCCCTGAAACAGTTTTGGGATCTAGTCTTGGATTACTATATATCTTAGAATTTTATCAGCAGGAGAATGAGTATCAGTATGAGTATCCTGCTCAGAATGAGCAGGATCAGTATGGCCTTCAGTGACAGCAGTGAAACAGCCTATGAGTTTCCAGCTAGTTTTGATCAAAGGGCATTCGAGCAGTTTGTGCCGTCTAAGTTGATGCCTCAGGGACATTGTGACTTACATATGCCTGGCTGAATTACAGTTGCCTCCTCATTTTTCACTTTTAATGTGACGCAGAGTCTGCCTCTTCCCTGCTTTCTGTGACTACGCTCTGCAGGTGTATCCAAATACTTACTTCTCCTCCACTGTCTCACAATAAGAACTAAACCAGTGTTTTCTGCTATCTCTGTCCTTCCTGTGTTCAAAGCACATTCAAGGAAGGCTAAAAGAGTGAGGCAGCCCCACATCTCCATGTCTTCTTTGTTGGTTCAGTGAGGGCTGTGATTAGCCCTGGTAGAACAATTCATTTTCAAATAGTTTCTCAACAAAAAGTCAGATTTGTAGGTCTTGGGAAATTTTCCATGTGCAGTGGTTGGTTTCATTTGATTTGATTTTATTATTCAAAATAACGAAAAACAACACCTGTTCACCTTTTGAGAGCTGATGGAGCTAAAAAAAATCACTGAAAAATGTAAACTTCCTGTGAAAATGGGAACATAATCTTTATTTTTATTCTTTTTATTTGAAGATGTCCCTAGAAACAATTTTTACTCCCAGTCTGCATCCTTTTGTTTTCTCAAGCTGCAACCACCTATCCAAGTGGGGGAAAAAAAACCAAACAAGTGAACAAAAACATCTGGGGAAAATAAAATCACAGAAATGATAGCACATTCTTGGAGCTGTTACTCTTGCCTTCAACTTACCTTCTCAAAATACCTCCTAAGAGAGAAGCATTGAGGCATTCTGGTGGTGAAAGACGCCTCTTCACCTCTGCAATGGTCACTTTGTATTTAGAAGTGGAGCTGAGTAGAGATAAGCGCCCAGGTACAGAGCAGAACAGGTCGGTGGGATTGACCACACAGGTACCACCTACAAAACAGATGAAGCATTAGAGGGAGGGAACCCTTGCACTCCATACTTTGACGAATTCAGTCATGAGGAGCGAAAGGGTTGTGTACTCCTTCTAGACCTAGGTCAGCTCTTCAGTTGATGTCAATGATTGAGCTACATCAGTTTATCTCAGTTTAGTTCTAGTAGTATTTATTTCTTAAAAGTGGCAATTATTTGGCCCGGGTCTAAAATTGCTGAACAATCACCAAATCTTTCAATGAAGATTATGATCAATAACTCTTCAGGCAAAACGGAGCTTTTAACCATATGCATAAAGCTAATTTCTGTGAGAGTAGGAGATAAAATTTTCTCTGGAGCTAGTCCAAGAGGATAGGATAAACTTTCAGAAAAAATGTAACACATATTTTATCGCTAAGTGCAAAGCACTTTTCTGTGACCCGCCTTCTCCAACCTGACTACAATTAAAAAAAAAAAAAGTCTATGGAAAAAGCAAATCTTGCCACTGCATGCACAATTCTTCCCTGGGGGAAAGAGGAGAAAAAGAATGAACTGCATATGACAGTGATATCACATATCACACCATTTATTGTGCTGCTGGAAGGAGTTCAGGTGATTTCTGTGAGGACAGTGATATAAAGACCTACCTTCTTACAGCAGAATGGCTCTGTGCACATATTCATGTTTCGAGGAAAGATACTATACTTTATAAGTTACCACGATACATTTTTTTCTTTTCTGTGAACATCCTACTTCCTTTACATTGCAAAAATTTGCTTTACTATTCTTAAAAATAGAGTGGAGTGGAGAGGAGTGAAGTAGAATATCTCCCTTTAGGCCAGATCCTAAAAATTTTACTCCACCTTCTTCCACAAATAATCCCTCTTAAAATCAAGGTGACTGTATACATTCCAGCTTTATCAGAGACAGAGGGATGCAACTCAAGGATGAAATTTCATTAAAAGCACATTATCGCTTGCTTGCATGAGGCAAACAGAATTTCTCTCCAAATATTTCAGTTCTCAAAGTTATGTTTAAACATTTGCACTGACAAGGAAGTTGGAAAAAGCTGGTATAAATAGCAGATGGGTACAGAACAGCAGAGTTTTTTATGACTTTTCTAATTACAGTATAGGGGAGTTGTTTATGTCCACTTCTCTGACAGGATATAAAGACAAATCATGCATCCAAAAAATGCACACAAATGAAGGTCACATATGCACAGTTTTACACAGCTTTGCGTTGCGGTATATGAGCTCAGATGCTCAAATGCAGAAATCTGGTGCCACATGCCTGAATTTCTTTTTTCTGTTTCTTTTTTTTTTTTCCCATATTTGAGGCAAGGCTGCACAGAAAGCTATAAATATTTTCAATCAATGTTTTCAAACTTCTGGTCTGTAAGGTGCATTTGTGAAGAGTGTTAACACCGGGTAATTTGTTTGTTTGTCATCTCTTGCCACACTGATACACAAATATATATACACACATGTACACATATATATGTGTCAAGAAAACAGTAGCAATGGGTACATATTTATTTACTTCAATAAGTCTGTAAATTTTATAATCAGTGGAGCTGCACTGAAATCAGTGTAATATAAGAGTTTATTGCCTTGCCAGGTTAAGCCTGTTTATGCTCCGTTTATACCAGAAAAATAATTGTTCCTTTAATTCAAAAATGTGTTATCCTACAGCTGCGCTTACACTAACCAAATTTACTGCAAGACTTCTCATTACAACTTAGTAAAGGGTTAATTACAACCTAAAATATTTAAAAACACCTTGACAAACAATTCCAAGTAAGCCAGGTATGGGTTAAATGTAAAATAAAACAAGTCAGAGTAATTTGCTTTCCAGAAACATGGAGAAGAAGTTGCAAATTACGAGAAGGTAAAATCTGTTGCATATAATTATTTCACTATATTAATTATTCATTGACACAGCAACAGAGAGCAGTGTGGTGCTTTGCAGACAAAGCTATGTCCTTGTCTCAAACTGTGTGCAGCTTTCAAGGCAAGGCTTTCCTCCCACAGATACCACCTTGCAGGGGAGAGGGATGATGTTCTGGCCTTTGCACTGAGTAGTGAACAAAAAAAGGAATAGCAGTAAACAACGGTAGGGCTGGTAGAAACAGAAAGGATAAGTGCAACCACACTGGAGGACAAGGGGTTATGTTTCCTGCCAAACGCGCGCTCTTTAGTATACTCTGGTTGTGTATTAAAGTGGAGAAATGATGTTGTGAAGAAGTGCAGGCCAATAGGGAGAGGACAAGGTATTTTATATAGCGTTAAGCAGCAGCGGCAACGATCAGCTTTTCCTTCCTGTCAACCCAATTCCACTGTAGCTGCTGTTATAAAAGTCAATCATTGTTCAACCACTGAGCTGCTCTTGGGATAACAGGATCTTTGAGGGGTGGGACACTAACAGAAAACAGTTAAAGTAGCAGAGGAAAGTGCCACTATAAAGAAAATGTAAACAATGACTTTCACGAGTCTGGCAGTTCAACCCAGAGATCCCTATTGCTCTTTGTAGCTTTTATTTGCTTTAGAAATGTTTATAGTCTAGATTCTGGTGTCAGGATACATAAGAAGTAGCTACCTCACGAGATGAACAGACCCATATCTAGCCACGGCAAGGAAATGTGCCCACCAGTGTACATAAAGAGGGGATACTGCAGCCGGTTGCTCCCTAAGCTACACAAGTGGTCCTACTTTGAGGCTAGGAAAAAGAATACCAGAGCCAGTGGAAGGTGAGATAACTGGTACGACTGTCCAACAGATTGCTTCTGCAATTTACTGGTCCTGGTACCACTGTGAATTTTAAAGGGGCCCCTTTACGGACAATCGATTATTCACATAGCGAAGTGACTACACGGCCCACATCAACTGTTGTCATAAAATACTGTGTTAGATATGACTATAACCAGTGGTAGTTGCATAGTGACAGTTGCAAAGGTCTAAGGGCACAAGCGAGACAAGATTTAGACAAAGAGGGAATATCTTCTATATTACAACTGATAGGTTGGGAGAAAAAAATGAGAGAAGCTTTCAGGCACACAAACCCTTCTTCAGGGCTTGTCTTTTATCCAGCTCTATTCAATTACTTCTTCTTTCTTCATGACAGAATTTTACCCTCTGATCTGTCATCTTCGTGTTGATTTCAACAAATATAATTGTTCGAAAGAAAAAGGACAGGCGGAGAAGAGAGACACTTTGTGGAGAAGGAACAGCAGATCACATCTGAGTGGAAGATCCCGGGCCCAATTCTGCCATATCCTGAATCAGTTCAGCTACAAAAAATTCAGCTAGGAGGTGAGATTCCTGTCAAATGATCTGAGGGAGAGAAATATGGAAAGACTATGTTCATTTTTGCTAGCCTTTTGGGGCTCAATTCTTTTCTCTCTGGCTGTTTCAGTTTGGAGTATTAGGTACTCTTTTGTGTAAGCTGCATTATTACTTCATATTCTAAGCTGAGAACAAAAAAAAGTTAGGCTGTGCGACACTGGAGAAGGCAGTCACAGTAAATGTCGGGACAGTATTTCCTCTTCCTTGTTCCTATCTGCCCATCAAATAACGCAAGTCAGCGCAAAAAGCCATTGGTGATGAGTGGTGTAGATGACAGCAGTGAAAACAACAGCAGAGCCATACTCTAACCCAACAGCAACATACTCCCATCTTGTTAACACAGTGAAAATCCCAAAAATTCGTGATGCAAAAAGAGATTGGTCTATTTTGATTGTAGGCTTTCCTTTGTATAGGTGAGTAGGACAACAGGTTAGCTAGAGAGGATTTATTCTCTGATTTAGTTATTCACTTGGGCATCTACTGAAAGGTAAGTCCCCCTGATGCCCTCAGCATTAAATATTTGTGTATCTTCTTATTGTCAGAATTTATATTCTCACATTATTCTCCCTCAAAGTAGGTAAAAAACATTCTTTTTTACTCTTCATAATAAGTAATGCTATTGCTTTATTAGAAATGAAATTTCCATCGAAATCATGTGATCACCTTTAAGCATGTTAGATATAACCTTTATTTTTAATATATGCATATAATTTTATATAGATACACACATGCTCACACTTTCCAAGGTCATTTCTTGTTTGTTAATCGTAACAGCTGTAATATGATGGGTAATTTATATTTGTTCAGAAGAGGTAGTCTCTTTCTCCAAAATATTCACCCATAAATGTAGTGCTGTTGTGGAACGGAACAGCATAATTTGCTAGTGACAATGCTGAGGAAGTGCTGTTTGTTTTGCTTTCCAGGATATATGTAAGTGTATGTGTTTGTGTACATTATTAAGTATAAGCACATGTGATTGCCTAGAGATTAATCTTGTATAAAATATTAATAACACACTATGCTTTTTATTAGTCCATTATTTATATCTACAGGTGCTGCTATTAGGAGTCTACAGTTTATATTTTCTTCTCTGTTCTGAAATTCTGGCAAGGTTACTATGTTACAAAATGAAGGCATGAAAATCTGTCCCTCCTCAGCTTTTTTCTCTGACAGGAGGCAAATCTAGGCAAAGAGTTAACTGTTTATAGTTTATCAGTCTTACTTAATCACATGTTCAGTTCCCAAAGGTCTATACGCTATTTAAATTATCTCCAAGTTATCCTCAAACGACCTAATAATTAATCTCGGGAAGGAAATGTGCAAAATTCTAAAACTCCTCTACTTTAATCAGGAAAACTAGGAAGGGTTGTTTTTTTTTTTTTTTTTCATTTATCCTTTTGGTTTCACTTATGAGCTAAAACTTCATGTCATGTAACTAGTCACATAAACCAGATCGTGTCATGGTCATGAACAATTCCAAGATGACAGCCTTCACCACAGCATTCACACTAAAGAAGTACAGATATGTCTGTGTGCACAGCATATTTTTTTATATGTAAACTAGAAGATAAGTGTGGATTATTCAGTCAGGTTTAACATTTCATATAACTTAAGCATGCCTACTCAGTGGGAATGATGAGGAGGTCAGCTGTTTTTAAGATAAGTTGCTTAACCACG